TGTGAAACGTATTTTATGAATATATATTCTTATTTTGTGCATGTGAATTGGTTTTTGTGAATATATATATATTTTTTGTGCACGTGAATTATTTCTCATGCATGTGAATTGGGTTACGCATGTGTGCATCGCGTCTTTTGCGTGAATTATTATTGAGATCATTCTGGCTCCATACGGAAACGGTACTGTGCTCTCAGCGCGTGCTCTTCAATTGCACACACAAAGGCGCCGGCGCGCGCTGTAGTCTGTATCCTTTCATATCAAAGCGCAAAAAAAAAAAACTACGTGCATGCAATGTCGTGGGCCATTTAAGTCATGAAGTTACCAAAAAGACGATTAAAGCTGCCTTAAAACTGTGCATGCATGTAATATATTTTATACGAGTCACATTATGAACATGTCTCTGAAATGGTTTTCAAAACTGTCCTGGAGCAGCCGAGCACTGTCTCACTCATCTAACACACCCGATTTAACCCGTCAGCTCATTAATAGAGACTTTAAATCCTGAAGTGGGTCAGAAAAGGTAAAAAGAGTTGAGAGAAAATATAATGCGTGTCAGATCAGCGTTACGTTCAGCAGCGGCAGCTCTTAAAGAAATAACAGCCAAAATAACCTAATAACCAGCTGCTGTGATGTCTATTAATCAAAGGACAAAGAAAAGAAAAAAAAAAAAGAGCAAAACTTTTATAACTTTAAGGATTCATCTATATTTAATTTACAATTTAGTGTTTGATAACTTCAATTTTTGTATATTTCTGCTTAAGGGCACAGGTAAATATGATATTATATGATATGATAGGTAAATATTTATTATAATGGGTTTATGTGAAGATTGTTTTAAGTTCACTTAAATTAGAAGTTATTTTTTAAAGTCTGATAAATGTTCAAATTGATTTGGGGGGGTCAATTTTATAGAGAAATCAGTATTGGTATCATTGATACTGGCCTTCAGTCATAAAAAAGATGCCATTAAACAAATATAAAAAAAATATACAGTCTTTGTTGTTTGTACATTAATTTGAAGATTGAATGTGAAATTATTGCAATATAAAAGTATATTTACAAACTTTAATGTTAGGTGGGATTAATCGAGATTAATTTCAGAAAAATGTGCGATTAATTAGTTAATTTTTATTTATCGATTGACAGCACTAATATATATATACTGTATATATGATAGAAAACTCACCTGTGCATCATCTACGTCCACTTTAAGGAAGACCACATTAGCATAGGAAGGATTTTCAGACAGGCCCTGAAGTGAGGAATTACAATGAGAAATTGAGTCAAATAAATCCATTCCAACGACTCAAATATAGTAACTTAAAGTTGGTTCCTTACTTTGTAAAAAGGTGCGATGCTCTGACAAGGCCCACACCACGTGGCTGTAAAATCAACCACTACAAGCTTATCACCTGCCTCAGCAAGAGCTTTGTCAAAGCCATCCTGTGAACACAAGTCAATGTTCAATGTTGGATTTCATGCTGTGTCATCATTGCAATGTGCTATTCTTTAAAATAAGATGGTGTTGCTGTGGGCCCTTGTTTTTTTAACACAAAAGAAGATACTTTGAAGAAATGTTGCTAACCAAACAGTTGCTGGTTGCCACTGATTTCCGTAGAAGGAAAATACTATGCAAGTCAATGGCTACCATCAACTGTTTGGTTAGCAACATTTCTTCAAAGTATCTGCTTTTGTGTTGAGCAGAAGAAAGAAATTAATACAGGTTTGGAACTACAAGAGGGTGAGTAAAAAAAAAAACATTCTTGGGAGAACTATTACTTTAACTGAATGGAGTAAAATAATTGTTTGATTAATTTTATACTTTATGAGTATGTCATTTGCTATCATTAAACTGTATTTAAATATATACTGACTACATGCCGGTCTAGGTAACAACACAAAACCACATTGGTAGACCACTAAGGCCAACACTTTTGTAAGAATATTACATTATTTATCTGTAACAGACGGAATCAAATAATAAGGCGCATCTGACTACATTAAAACAAACAGTAAGAGAAAGTCAGTATACCGACATTTAATGACGTCCTTGTATACCGTATTTGCCTTATTCACTGCGGCAAATGATCAGATGCTGCTGTGCAAAAAAATAATAAAATAAACAGACCCTCAGAAGAGTCAACCCCGCGTGACTTGATGGCGCGCTTCATCAGGCCGCGATCACCGAAATAAACTATAAATGCTACAAGAGCGTGCTAATTTAGTTATCTAGGTTAAACTATGAATGAGAACGTTTATTTCAACCGTAGGTTTAGACCACGCACACTCAGTTATCGTGAGCTGAAAGTTACGTAACGAAGCGGCATGCCAGCTGCCGCAACACTATGTTATTTCACGTGCGTTGGTTCGTAATTTTACAACACAATTGTTGCAGTGCAAATAACGTAAAATGAAAGCGATATTTTATGAGCGAAAGCTATGCATTTTTAGCTTTCGGGTGCCGTAGTGGCAAGGTAACGTTACGTTAGACATTAGCTGGTGTAAAGAATTGGTTAGCAGATAGGCTAACTATATTTTTTACAACCACAATCTGAACTGACTTATTTAAGTTTATTGCTTGCTAATACTTTGTGAATTCTCACGCACGGCTGTTGAATTTTCAACTAACAGTTAACTTAAACGAAAACAGTTTGATGGGCAATTACAGGCTCTCGTGCAGTTACTCAGCAAAACGTGTCCTCCCTAGCCATATCGCGCGATTTTGCTAATTTTGTTAAAAAAAAAAAATTATGTGAGTGTCTGTTTGATTAAAGCAGCGCTCTTACCTGATCTTCGATGATGATGATCATTTTATCGCTTTACTGTTGTCTCGAGCTCGGAGAAAAAACCTTCCTTAACTCGGTCGCCCAGAAACGAACCTCCTCCTTCTGTTTCGCTGAATCCAGCGTGTAACGTTAGTTAAAAAGCTTCGATTCATTCAGAAAGCCCTGCCCATAAACGCGCTGGCGGACAACAGGCCACAAATGGCCTCAGTGTTTGCGTCTCTGTAATGTGGGAGCAGCACTGGACATTCTTGCTGCAATAGGTTTCTGTAGGGTTTTTTTTCCTGTCAAATGTTTCAGGTGTTTTACAGCAGTTGTTCAATTTTAAGTAAATCCACGTGTACATTTGACAAGTTCTCAAGCAGTTAAAACTGTAAAACAAATCCGTCAAACCTATTTATATGGATAGGATATTGTTCTAGCTTTGCATTATATTTTTAGCTGCATTTCGTTATTTGCATTGTTTTTCCCCAACCCCTTTTAAATTTGCATAAACCACACTGTGATTTACAATTTAACAATTCACTTATGTTAATTTTACAGTGACTGTACATTTATATTAAAACACATTTTAGTAGCCAGCAATTGTACTTTCTAGTATTACAATTTAACTTGTTTTGAACTTATATAATTTGAGTAGTTTCTGATTATCACAGTGCAGATATTTTTCATCTAATTAACTTGTCTTTTTTGGAAACAGGTATGAAAAAAAAAAACTGTTCATAGAATATTCATGTTAAAATAATTAATATTTAATTGACTGCCGGTAATGATTGACATCTATTAAAAATAATTAGTAAATGATAAATTAATAAATATATATTTAAATTTCATTTATTTACATAGGTAATTCTCATGTCTAGTTTCATGCACTGTTCCTTTTTTCTGCTCTTTTGGACAGCTTTCCATTTCACTCAGCCTGTTCTGTGATGTCTCATTCCATCCCATCCCATTCAATCATGTTAATCATTTTCTTTGAACACTGATGAAAATACATGAGATGATGGTGATGAGTGTGTTGTTATAGGATCTGGAATAATTAGGCCTTGCTCTTTGAAGTCTCTGAGTACGATGTTGCCACAGATACCAAACACGACCTCTGTCCTTCTCTTTCTGTTGCATCCTTCATCCAGGCTAGTAGCTATTCAGAGATTCCAGGTGTTTGTCTCCATCATTTGGAAAGGATGCTTCCATTTACAGCTGCTTTCAGGTCATATGAAGGCGGTTGCATAGTATTAAAAGTTTGTCCGATATATGAACATAATGTTAGTTTAATAATGAGATCTAAGATGTCCTGTGACGGTTTTCACTGTGGAACATAGAAACAACCAGTTTCATAAAACAACACAGAGCTGTTCACACATCACACTGAAATGATGCTAAAGATTTTGGAATGGTATTACAACAAAATGTTTCAAGAAAATTTTCCTACAAATTCAAATTAATTGAATTGTTTTACAAACACCTGGATGAATGAAAACCCTCACAGATATATTGCCATAATTAAATGCCATAAAATAAAAAAACACTGCAGGGAGAAAAAAGAACAGCAAAGACATTTTGTGGACTGACAAAACATGCTAAAAACACACACACCTGGGCCCGTATTCACAAAACATCTTAAGGCTAAAAGTAGCTCATAACTCGCCGATTTAAGAGAAAATCTTAAAAATAATGGGCGTGTCAATCCTAAATTTAGGACTCCTAGATTTTTGCTCTAAGAGTATTTCACAAAGCGTTTTAGCTCTAAAACTAGCTCCTAAATCTGTGAAAC